AATCGCTAAGCGTAATCGCTAATCGTTAATCGCTAAGCGTATTACATGTCTGCTAAATTCTACTCTAATAATAATAATAATAATAATAATAATAATGATAATAATAATAATAATAATAATAATAATAATAATAAGAATAATAATAATAATAATAAGAATAAGAATAATAAGAATAATAAGAATAATAATAAGAATAATAATAAGAATAAGAATAAGAAGAAGAATAATAATAATAATAATAATAATAGACACTAATAAGTAAAGTACCTTATCTTGCTCAGCACGTTGAATGCTCTGATGCTTTCTTCTTCGTGCTATTTCAGACTTTTTTAAGAGCATTTCCTCCTCAGTGAGTTGCTTTTTTTTCATTGGTTCTAATAAATTAAGATTCGTAAGTTTTTTCTAAAGATATTAGAACATATATATAGAGAGTAATATTAACCCATTGGAAGTTGAAGTAAGTCTGAATCATAATTGTCATCCAATTTAGCCCTTTGTCGTTTGGTAAGAATACGAGCATCGTAAGATGAAGATGAAGATTCCGCCATACTTTAATAAAAACAATATGATTATTTATTGAGGAAAAACAACCATATGATTAATGTTCTTTAATATCATGCCTGCTTGCTAATAAAAGAAAGTTGATATTCAGTTGAATGACTATAAATTAGATACAACTCGAGAAAAATTATTACAGCATACACTTCTTTCTTGAATTACTAGTTTGATGTTGATGCGGTACTTTTTGTTGCCTTAAAGGTCGCTTTTGTTTTTGAGGTGCACGTCGCGAAACACCTCTACTTCCTCTTGTTCGTCGCGTGGTAGTTGTTTTGCTCTCATAACTACGTTCTTCCTCTTCAATTTCCTCATCTTCGTCTTCCTCATCACCAATCTCAAAATCGTCTTCGTCGTCAACAGGAGTTGCATCGTCGCATTCGTCTATGTCGTCTTCTACGTCAATATCGTCATCGACTTGTTCAGTTTCTTCCTCAGGTTCTTCGGCTTGTTCAGCCTCTTCTTCTTCAGCTTGTTCAACGTCTTCTTCCTCAGCTTCCTCTCCTTCCTCTATTCTCGATTCAATTTCAATATATTCATCATCGTCTTCTTCTTCCATCATTTCATCGAGTTCCGCATCCATCTCTTCATCCTCACTTTGATAAGAATCACCACGTTTAGCCATTGTCTCTTCTTCCATAAATTCGTCAGATTCTAGATCAGATGCACCAGAACTTTGCTCGTAGACTTGAGGCCGTGATTGTTGCCTCTGGCTGCTAAATAAAGAATTGGTCTTTCTGGTACTAGGTCTCCTTGATGAGGTCACCATCATATTGGTACGTACGATATATATGAATATATATTCTGTTTCATAAAGATAAAAACGTTTTCAAAGTTTTCTCAGGTTTTAATTAAAAATATATCAGATATGTATGTTGTCTCAGGTTTTGATTGGCTATTCCTTAGTGTCACAAATATTGTTACACAGGTATATAAAGATAAAGATACGATCATACAGTATCGGTATTCTGAAATAGAGATGGAACCCAATTTATCGATAATCGCATGTTTTGCATGGCTAACTGAATTTAATTTGAGTTTATTGTGTTTATGTCATAACACAAGAGACAAAATTCATGTGCACGAAAAATATTATTTGTCGAATAGAATAAAATCCGTTATCAGAACAGGATAGGCGTATCCCATCTTTATTCTATCTAATACAGTATTCCAGTATTCACTATTAACTAGATTTGGACCTTTATATCTAACCCTTATTTTTTTCTAAAACTGCACTCTAACCCTAAATTTTGATAAAAATTTAAAAATAGTTATAAACTATTAAATAAATATGCGAGTGTAGCGAAATATTTTACCAAATATATAGTCGAGAATATCCACAGTTACATTTTTTTGATTGATAAATAATCAGCTTATCTAAATAATTCGATTAATAAAAATAGGGAACGCCTATTTCCACCATGAAAATTTGCTATTTCCACCATGCTTTTAACATGAGTTTCAGCTACATAAGCATGATTTCATGGTGGTTCTCTAAAACGTATGTTATTTTCAAATTGAAAAATAACATTCGTCAATTAATAATTGACATACATTGAGAAATGACGCATAACACTTCCACAATTTGACGTAATTTATCATGACAATATGCTTATCATGTTTATGTAACTGAAAGTCATATGGAATGTATGGCAGCATGGTGGAAATAGCAAATGTCCATGGTAGAAATAGGCGTTCCCTTTTTTATATCATGTAATCTAAATTTTAAGCGACTTTTCTATATTAAATTAGGTATAATAAGTAAAATCAAATATATTTTATTATATTCATAATATACTTTCAGTTCGCTATTCGTTATAGTAAGACTTATTATAAAAAATTCGTTATATTTAATTAT